CACTGGAGTGGTTTAAGGGGAAAATGTATTGGAATGGCCTAGTCAAAGCCCAGACCTCAATCCAATTGAGAATATGTGGTATGACTTAAAGATTGCTGTACACCAGCGGAACCCATCCAACTTGAAGGAGCTGGAGCAGTTTTGCCTTGAAGAATGGGCAAAAATCCCAGTGGCTAGATGTGCCAAGTTTATAGAGACATACCCCAAGAGACTTGCAGCTGGAATTTCTGAAAAAGGTGGCTCTACAAAGTATTGACTTTTGGGTGGGTGAATAGTTATGCACTCTCAAGTTTTATTTTCTTTTGGTCTAAATTCTTGTTTGTTTAACAATAAAACATATTTTGCATCTTCAAAGTGGTAGGCATGTTGTGTAAATCAAATGATACAAACCCCCAAAAAATTTAATTCCAGGTTGTAAGGCAACAAAATAGGAAACATGTCAAGGGTTGTGAATACTTTCGCAAGCCACTGTATATGTGTATGAGCATCATATGGAGTCACAGCTTGCTTCTGTAATGGGAAAAGCTGTTGTCACAATAGCAAACTGAGTGCTGAATAAGCTACTTCTTACATTAGTCCAATTGCTGACAAGTTGACAACAATTCCTCATATTGTTTAATTGAATAGCCTTTTGTGGAATTGCACAGCCATTTCATAGTAGTTTTGAATATTTAGTTCATTCACTACCTGTACATTGTTCATAATGATTGATCATCAGTGGTATAAAGTACTTTAGTAAAAACACTTTAAAGTACTACTTAAGTAGGTTTTGGGGGTATTTGTACTTTACTTTACAATTTATATTTTGACTACTTTCACTTTTACTCTACTACATTCCTAAAGAAAATAGTGTATTTTTACTCCATACATTTTCCCTGACACACAAACTACTTGTTACATTTTGAATGCTTAGCAGGACATAAACATTTTCAAATTCACACACTTATCAAGGGAACATCCCTGGTCATCTCTACTGCCTCTGATCTGGTGGACTCAGTAAACACAAATATTTCATTTGTAAATTATGTCTGAGTGTTGGAGTGTGCCCCTGGCTATCCGTATTATTATTTTTTTTAACTATACAATTGTGCCGTTTGGTTTGCTTAATATAAGGAATGTGAAATTATTTTTACTTTTACTTTTGATACTTGAGTATATTTTAGCAATTACATTTACTTTTGATACTTGGGTATATTTAAAACCAAATACTTTTAGACTTTTACTCAAGTACTATTTTACTGTGTGATTTTCACTTTTACTTGAGTCATTTTCTATTAATGTATCTTTACTTTGACTCAAGTATGACAATTGGACACTTTTTCCACCATTGTTTATCATTCAGACAAATCCGTCCGGCATTTTCCTTCAAGAAAAGCCCTTTGCACTCAACAAGCAATCATTCCTCTGTGTCCTTACATGTCTATTAGAGTTTTTCTCTAACGCGACCAGCCAGCCAGACACGCTCTCACACACATCACATCTCTCACCTTGTTTTCCTGCCTCTGTGATCTTGGACCTGGGCCTGGCTGAAGTCAATGCCTTGGCTTGTCAGAGGGGATATCACAGGGAAGTATGTGTTTCTGTCTTGGTGGGAAATAGAGGGAAGAAAGAGAGGTCCTCTGTGTAGTTAAGAGCACAGAACAATCATTTACAGAACGTAGGATGTGTCCGAACTTCCAATATTTAGCAATGGAACTGGCTAGCTAGCTACCTTTTTTTCAAAACATCAGGTTTCATAACATATTTGTCGCAGAGACATTTGGTATGACATAGATTGTAGATGTGTAATGTCAAGCTCTGTCAAGCTCTGTCATTCAAATATTATTGCATGAGTGAAGATAAAATCAAATCAGTGTCAGTATTAAATCACAACAACAAGTAGAATAAGAAGAGAGTAAAGAAAGGTATTCAGTAAGTGAAGTTTACAGCTGCACTTTTATTTCCTAGCGAACTTGTCTCTAGAGAACCTCAGCTTAGATTGTTGCAATACTATCATCTCCAACCAGAGATAGTTTTTTATTTCAATCCAAATAAAATATAGCCCGAGGGCTATTTGTCCTTTTAAAGCTGAGGTGTCAAAGAAGGTATTTCACGGCTGAGTGCCCTTTTTAATACATCTCTCCCAGAACAGAACACCTTCCAGCATTATAGCCCTGCCTGTCTGCCAGTCACCCCATGATGACAAGTGTGAACAGCAGAAATAGGGTGGTGTTGCGATTAAATGTGTCCCCTTCCTCCTATCTGAATTGATGATCTCTCTGTTAAACTGGGATGGGATGCACTGTAGATGTGTCAGTCAGAGAGAGAGAGAGTTCAGTGTGTTTGTGTGTAATAATAATAATATAATATATAATATAATATCATATATGCTATTTAGCAGACACTTTTATCCAAAGCGACTTACAGTCGTGTGTGACTCGTACATTGTGTGTGTGTGTGTGTGTGTGTGTGTGTGTGTGTGCGTGTGTGTGCGTGTGTGTGTGTGTGTGTGTGTGTGTGTGTGTGTGTGTGTGTGTGTGTGTGTGTGTGTGTGTGTGTGTGCGTGCGAGTGCATTTGTGTGAAAACAGGTGTGCATGATAGTCATGAAGGAACCACTGTTAGGAACATAGGAAAATCGTAGAGGAAGGAAGAGGTTGATGTTTTAATTTTCTGCTCGTTGAGCATTGTGTGTCGAGCCTGGGCGTGCAGACACAGTTTTGTGGATGTAGTACAACATTCGGAGTGTGTATGTGGGATGTGTGTCTTTTGCATCGATAAGACTTGAGGGACGTGTAGGCCTATGATTGTATGTTTCATCCTTAAATTGGGTCTTTCACTCTTCACTGAACAAACGCAGTCATCCTGTGCTATGATAGCAGTATTTACATGAAGGGTGTGTGTATGGGGGGAGAGAGGGAGAGAGAGAGAGAGAGAGAGAGAGAGAGAGAGAGAGAGAAGAGAGAGCGAGAGAGAGAGAGAGAGAAGAGAGAGAGAGAGAGAGAGACAGAGAGAGAGACAGAGACAGAGACAGAGACAGAGACAGAGACAGAGAGAGAGACAGAGAGAGAGAGACAGAGAGCGAGAGAGTCCATGTACAGTGCATTCGGAAAGTATTCAGACCCCTTCCCTTTTCCCACATTTTGTTACGTTACATCCTTATTCTAAAATGGATAATATTAAAATGTTTCCTCATCAATCTATACACAATACCATACAATGACAAAGTGAAAACAGAAATACCTTATTTACATAAGTATTCAGACCCTTTGCTATGAGTCTTGAAATTGATCTCAGGTGCATCTGTTACCATTGATCATCCTTGAGCTGTTTATACAACTTGATTGGAGTCCACCTGTGGTAAATTCAATTGGTTGGACATGATTTGGAAAGGCACACACCTGTCTACAGTGGCTTGCGAAAGTATTCACCTGTTTCCTATTTTGTTGCCTTACAACCTGATTTTTTGGGGGTTTGTATCATTTGATTTAGACAACATGCCTACCACTTTGAAGATGCAAAATATATTTTTTTGTGAAACAAACAAGAAATAAGAAAAAAAGAAAAGAAAACTTGAGCGTGCATAACTATTCACCCCCCCAAAGTCAATAGTTTGTAGAGCCACCTTTTGCAGCAATTACAGCTGCAAGTCTCTTGGGGTATGTCTCTATAAGCTTGGCACATCTAGCCACTGGGATTTTTGCCCATTCTTCAAGGCAAAACTGCTCCAGCTCCTTCAAGTCGGATGGGTTCCGCTGGATTTAAATTCCAAGACATTTAAATGTTTCCCCTTAAACCACTCGAGTGTTGCTTTAGCAGTATGCTTAGGGTCATTGTCCTGCTGGAAGGTGAACCTCCGTCCCAGTCTCAAATCTCTGGAAGTCTGAAACAGGTTTCCCTCAAGAATTTCCCTTTATTTAGCACCATCCATCATTCCTTCAATTCTGACCAGTTTCCCAGTCCTTGCCGATGAAAAACATGGTGTTCTTGGGGTGGTGAGTGGTGTTGGGTTTGCGCCAGACATAGCGTTTTCCTTGATGGCCAAAAAGGTCAATTTAATCTCATCTGACCAGAGTACCTTCTTCCATATGTTTGGGGAGTCTCCCACATGCCTTTTGGTGAACACCAAATGTGTTTACTTATTTTTTTCTTTAAGCAATGGCTTTTTTTCTGGCCACTCTTGCGTAAAGCCCAGCTCTGTGGAGTGTATGGCTTAAAGTGGTCCTATGGACAGATACTCCAATCTCCGCTGTGGAGCTTTGCAGCTCCTTCAGGGTTATCTTTGGTCTCTTTGTTGCCTCTCTGATTAATGCTCTCCTTGCCTGGTCCGTGAGTTATGGTGGGCGGCCCTCTCTTGGCAGGGTTTGTTGTGGTGCCATATTCTTTCCAATTTTTTAATAATGGATTTAATGGTGCACACAGCCAAGACAACGCAGGAGTGGCTTCGGGACAAGTCTCTGAATGTCCTTGAGTGGCCCAGTCAGAGCCCGGACTTTAACCCAATCAAACATCTCTCGAGAGATCTGGAAATAGCTGTGCAATGACGCTCCCCATCCAACCTGACAGAGCTTGAGAGGATCTGCAGAGAAGAATGGGTGAAACTCCCCAAATACAGGTGTGCCAAGCTTGTAGCGTCATATCCAAGAAGACTCGAGGCTGTAATCGCTGCAAAAGGTGCTTCAACAAATTACTGAGTAAAGGGTCTGAATACTTATGTAAATGTGATATTTCCATTTATTTATTTTTTTGACATTTGCAAACATTTCTAAAAACCTGTTTTTGCTTCTTCATTATGGGGTATTGTGTGTAGATTGATGAGGGGGAAAAACTATTTAATCCATTTTAGAATAAGGCTGTAACGTAACAAAATGTGGAAAAAGTCAAGGGGTCTGAATACTTTCCGAATGCACTGTATCTCAGTATTTCAGTTGTTCTTCTGAGCTTTAATCAAAGTATATCCATTGAGGTGTGTCTTATTAGTCTCTAACCCACTTCCTCTCTCCTCTCTCCTTCCACTCTATAGAGGCGTCCATCCTGAGCTACGACGGCAGCATGTATATGAAAGTGGTGATGCCTAGTGTGATGCACACTGAAGCAGAGGACGTCTCCCTCCGCTTCAAGTCCCAGCGTGCATTTGGGCTCCTAATGGCCGCTACCTCCCGGGACTCTGCTGACACGCTCCGTCTCGAGCTGGACAGCGGCCGCGTCAAACTCACGGTCAACCTAGGTATCGTATAAAACCGTTAACCGCTAACCCTCTTCTTTTGAGGAGGCATGTTTAAGGTGTCTCGTAGCAGTTTTTGTGAGTTGTATTTTTCATTATTTCTTTTTTTGTTTTGGTCGAATACATCAAAAAATCTAACACAAACTAAAACTCATTTTTCATAATTTTTGTACAGTAGTTGCATGGATTGTATTTTGTTTTGCTTGGTGTCATATACAGTATTTTCTTGCTTTGTTGCGGTGGTCTCTGTAGAGTATTTCTATCTCATGAATCTAACACTTAACCACGATATCCATGCTTTCAGGCCACATCTTTTGAACAGATCATATCACAGTCATTCTTCATTATGATATTGACTTGACTGTAGAAAAAGTCACTAATTGTAACAAATAGCTCGACCAATTTCTCAGGCTAGACACTTTCAATTTATTACCCTCTGAGGCTCACAAACATTGTTTCACATAGGCCTAGCATATAGATAATACCATATACACATTTATTACACTATGGCTTTTAATAGGTCCTATTATTTTATTTCAACTTTGTATCTCTTATGTAACGTACTGATAACATCTGGACTTGTTGTTTGGGCTTGTTCTTGTCGTAACTGTGTTTGTTTATTATTTCCTGTACTATTCTTTTTATTTTGGTTTGGTCCATATTAGCAGGCCCATGGCTCCTCCCATTAGCACCCCTACAGTAGTGTAGGTGGTATCTCCCATGTCGCCTTGTTCAAAGATGGTACTCACCCCTTCAACGGCCCCTAGCCTGCGGCCCGTCTGGCACACAGCCCGAGCCCACAGCACACAGCTAGCCAGCAAATAGGATAGGATTTAAAATTCCAAAAAGCACTCGCACATCTGGTTGCAGCTGTGTGGGAATAATGTAATTACTTCAAAGAAAAGAGAAACCCGCACACTGCTCTTGCTAGTTTAATTTATTTTTATTCAAGCTTACATGTCAGCCCAATATAGGATAGGATAGAAGCACCCAATCTGTAGTACTGACGAACACATACATTACCATACAATACACATACAAACACCACCTGTCAACACATAATTCCCATCACACTACTACAGTGATGACTATACTTCAGTCAGTTTTATATACATTATCTTTCCAATCACTTATAGTTTGTAACTCAACTTGATCAACTATACTGCTCAGTAGACAATCTGATTTGGCTGGTTTTGCTCAAACAAACATAAATTAATTCACTACTGCCACTCACACAACTAGTCCTGTGTTAGAGCCAGGTTAGTGGTTAGCTTCTATGCCACTGTACAGTGCTGGTGCTGACTGGATCGATGCTGTTTGCTTCCACTTTTCTGTTGCGGTTGACGGTACATGACGAGCTGGGTCACATGGATCCCAACCCAGATCACCTGACCAATCAGACCAATCACAGGACTAGTCTACTTCCTGTATCTTCTTTTGGATGAGATACCCATCATAAAACACTGTTTTGTAGCCTGTAGTAGCCTAAAGTATACTGCAAGTTGATTTATAAATCAACTGATGGCTACAGGTGTTGAGTACAAAATGAAGATTCCAAAATACTGGGTTGGTAAATCGATGTGGCCAATGAACTGCAAGCGGACATTTTGAAATTGAGAAAACATGTAAACACATTTAAAATATTTTTCGAAATAGTTAACAACAACAAGTACTTTATAGTACGCATCAGACCTACAAAATACTGCCAAAAACAAATATAATTATTTTAATTTGATATAAGTAATTCTGATCTTAACTCAAAGAAAGCATAATGGTCAAAATTGGAATAAGACATAATATCCAAAATGGCAGCTTGATGTTGACCATCATCAAAAGTTACCATAACGACCTAAAATAGCCGCCGACGTCATGTGACCGTCCCCGGAAGGTGGAGTTTCTGTTCTTGGATGTCTGCAGCTTTTACCTTGAAGGATGCGATTTCATCTGTCACTTATTCTCCCCCCATCTAGACTGTGTCAGGATAAACTGTAACACCAGTAAGTCACCACTCCACTTGTTGGAGAATTCTTCTTTAAATGAATATTATATAATGATGTTTGACATGATTTGTGTGGTATAGATAGGGTAATGTGCAGAAGTGCGATAAGGGAATTGCATGGATAAGGGATCAGCTATAGCCGAGATCAAAGAATAAGTTATAATTGTTTCAATACATTATAGTTAACTTAACTCAACTCAATTATCCAACTTTTCTATATCTATTTTGTTAGGTTTTAATTTTTTTCTCTCAAAATGTTACAGAAATTCCCTCCCATATGTAATGGTCCGAGTATGGGAATGATATTCTCTATTTGTCTTGACAATATAAATGGTTGAATGACTTGTACTGAGGTACAGTATAACTGCTCTTACTCATAAAGAGGTCTTGAGTCTGACAGAGAGAGGAACATGTGTTGGTCATGACAGACAGTTTATGAATGTTGCCTGGAGAATGAATGTTGATTTCAACTGATATGTGTGCATGGTGTGTTTGAAACTGTTTATTTGTGTTTGAGTGTGTGCGTCTGTGTGCATTTCTCTCTCTCTCTCTCTCTCTCTCGCTCTCTCTGTGTGTGTGTGTGTGTGTGTGTGTGTGTGTGTGTGTGTGTGTGTGTAACTGGGTGTGACAGCCTGTCCCCAAGCTGCAGTTTTATTTCACGGTAGATCCCAGTTTGAGTGACAGATCAGACACACTCATTCACTCCAATTACTCTGATCAATGTCACTGATTACACAGAATACCTAATGCGGCAGCAGGTAATGTGTGTAATGAAACACACACACGAGCGTGCGCACACACACACACACACACACACACACACACACACACCACGTGAACACTGGGGTGGCACACCACAGGCTTGACACGCCCTCTTGTGGATAGCAGAGGAATTTGTATTTGAAGAGACATTCTCTCTTTGCCCTTGGACCTGTGGACCTGTGAACCTGTAGACCTGTGGACCTGTGGACCTGTGGACCTGTGGACCTATGGACCTGTGGACCTGTGGACCTGTGGACCTGTGGACCTGTACCTTCTATGATTTGTCTGCTTTGTGTAGAGATGTTCTTTGAAAAAAGTTCCAAGCCCTTTTATGAGTAACAGCAGTTATTATCTTACCATATGAGCAGTCATACGTCCACTGACAGTAGATTATTACATACAAATATACTGTATGTATTATTGTAGTTTGGTGTAATCTGTTCAGATCTTTTCTCCTCTGTTTTTACTTTAAGCCAAACCAAATCTTTGATTTTAGAGTTAGCAAGGTAAATGCAAAATGTGCAACCAACCTGCTTTCCTGCATTCAAGATCTGAGCTAGAATCAGTGTCCCAAAAAATGCTTTCTCATTCTCTGACCAACAAATTGGTTAATGGTAGACTAACCTAATGTAGCAGGTGTAGAAAGGGGAAACGGAAGTTAGGTTGAAAATACTGTATCCCTGAAAACCGCTTTCTGCCAACGCCGCTAAGGGTGCTGGTAGAATAACCAAGCTCACCCAGAGAAAACAAAGGTTTGGTTTGCGTTGCTGACTAACCCTAACCCTGAACTAACGAACGGTCCTTCTCAGGCAAGGGACCAGAGATTCTATATGCGGGCCAAAAGCTCAATGATAATGACTGGCACTCTGTCAGAGTGGTCCGACGTGGTAAAAACTTCAAACTCACAGTCGACGAAGACATGGCTGAAGGTACTATTACTGGTTCTGATGTGATGAGAATATATTTTACTAATGCAATTTTTTGTACTAATAAAAGAGGTGAAATCCTTTGAAATTCCAATCCTACCCTTCTCCTCCCTCTTTACCCCTTTTCTCCCCTCCCTTTGTTTTTCCTCTTTCTACACTCTTTCTATTTCCTCCTTTGCCCCCGCCCTCTCCTCTCTCTCTCTCCTCTCTCTCTCTTCGCTCTCTTCTATCTCTCTCTCTCTCTCTCTCTCTCTCTCCTCTCTCTCTCTCTCTCTCCCCCTCCCCCCCCCCCCCCCTCTCCAGGCCAGATGGCAGGCGACCACACCCGTCTGGAGTTCCACAATGTGGAGACAGGGATTCTGACAGAGAGACGTTTCGTCTCCTCCTCCCCCTCCTCCTTCATTGGACACCTGCAGGTAACACTTCCAGGCCTGGCAGGAACACATTAGAACATAAATCATCATTTGGCGCCTGGCCAGGCACTGACCTACACAGACAGAAGGGGGTCAGGGGTCAGTACTACTGTTATAGCCTGATGACGTCTTCTAGGTTCTCACCCTTAAGATTTGAACAACTCCTATCTTCTTGCTTTAACATTACTTAGGGTGATAAAAATAGCTATCAATATTATTGTCATTGCTGAGTTATCGCGATACCAAATGTTATTGTTATCATTATCATTAGTGTTCCCGAACTCACCTCCACCCACAGGGCCTGAAGTTCAACGGCATGTTCTACATTGACATGTGTAAGAACGGAGACATCGACTTCTGCGAGCTCAATGCCCGCTTTGGCATGCGCTCCATCATCGCCGACCCGGTGACCTTCAAATCCAAGGGCAGCTATCTGGGCCTGGCCACCCTGCAGGCTTACACCACCATGCACCTGTTCTTCCAGTTTAAAACCACCTCCCCGGACGGCTTCATACTGTTCAACAGCGGAGACGGAAACGACTTTATCGCTGTTGAGCTGGTCAAAGGGTGAGGCACTAGTCATATGGATGACTACCATTATTCTCTCACCTAGCTTTGTTGGCTGAGTGTTCAGAGGAGAGTGAGTGCTCTCTTGTTGTCTCTACCACTGCTTGTGCACACACTCCCCTTCCTCAATGGAGTAGGCACTCCATCTCAGTAACGTCTCCTACACTCACACACTTCAACTGAGTCCACAGATTTTTTGGGTAGGCACGCTAATGGACACACACAGGCTGAAGGGGCCTCTCTGAGGCGGGTCCCAAAGTACAGAGATAAAGAAGGGCCCTAGTAGGGAAGTGCACTTAGAAGTACTGAAGTGTGCATCCTTATCCCTTGTCCTCTTGGGGCATGTCACAAAGTACAGAAGAAAAGAACCCTTAGGGAAGTGCACTTATAAGTACTGAAGTATGCGATCCTGTCCCCTCCCATGGACACACACACACACACACACAAGCTGAAGTGTCCACTCTTAGGCCATATCCCAAAGTACAGCGGAGAAGAAGGGCCCTTAGTGAAAGGAAGTACTAGGAGTACTGAAGTATGCATTTGTGTCCCCTTGTCTCATCCCTCTGTAGGTTTGTCCACTATGTGTTTGACCTGGGGAATGGTCCCAGTCTGTTGAAGGGGAACAGTGAGAGTGCCCTGAATGACAACCAGTGGCACAACGTAGTCATCACCAGGGACGCCTCCAACACACACACCCTCAAGGTGGATGCCAAGTCTGTTACACAGAACGTCAACGGAGCCAAGAACCTCGACCTCAAAGGTAACAAGAAATACACCAATAAACATACTCTCATGCACTTTCTCACACCGTTCTAAGGTAGTAAACACACATGAAGTCTATCTGTACTAGAGATATACTTTTCAGTAAAAACCAAGCAGTCAGCCTCTATATATCCTTCCATCATAGAGACATAAACACTGTCAATCCAATGTTTATACTACTGTAGCATACCACTTAGAATGTGTGTCCAATACATGCCTCATTCTAAGTGATGCTAGTGTGGATATTGGAACGTAGCTGCTGTTTTGACAGTGTTTGTGTTTACTCAGGTTGTTTGGTGATTTGACTGAACAAACTCATTATAGTTGTGTAATGACTGGATTATCCTCTATTCTCAGAAATGGTGTTGACACACTCTGACCTCAACAACCTTCATCCTTCATTTGTTAATCAACTCACCCCCCCCCTCTCTCTCTCTCTCTCTCTCCCTCCCTCCCTCCCTCCCTCCCTCCCTCCCTCCAGGTGATCTGTTTGTGGCAGGGCTGGGGCCCAACATGTACCAGAACCTTCCTAAACTGGTGGTCTCTAGGGAAGGTTTCCAGGGTTGTCTGGCGTCTGTAGATCTGAACGGCCATCTGCCTGACCTCATCAACGACGCCCTGTTCCGCTCCGGACAGATCGAACGCGGATGTGACGGTACGACCCATGACCTATGACCCCTATGCCAAATGAACCCATATATTGTGGATGCGTCCAGTTCCAAATCGACCCCTAGCACCCTAGATGACTAGATCTTTACCCTCTATTAATTGCTATACTATCCTCCTTGCCCACTCACACCTTCTGACCATCAAGTCCTTCAGCCCAGTTCATTTATGGCCACTTAGGGTCCCAGCCTAGTTGTGGACTGCAGTGGTTCCCAACCAGGGGTACTTGGCCTATCCACAGGGGGTACTTGAGAAAACTCATGAGACCATAAGCTTAATGGTAAAATGCACATGAGGGGGTACTTCAGGGTTACTCCGGGCAGAGCAAAATTCAGTTGGTGGTACAGTAACCAAAAAAGGTTGGGAACCACTGGTGGACTGTAGTAAAATAATAGACTGGGTCACTGCATCTACCACTAGGTGGTGCCAAAGTATCAGTATTCAAACTAAGCTTGTTCTCTCACAGGACATTCCTGAACACACACAATGACTCACACCCACCAAAATCTATAAGCTTGATCACTTTTTCTACCATACCCCTTTTTCTGCAATCTAACAGATGAACACTAATTAACCACTTAACATAACAATGTGAAGTACTTGCCTTTATAGTCACTATACTTACCAATACCTCTACTACACCTGATACTCAAACTAACCCTATGGTCCCTCACTAACCTGACTCTGTTGTTTTTCCGCTTCTTTCTGTTCTGTTTGTTGTTTTTCTGCGCTAACAAAGTTGGTTTCACCAAAGCCGACTTGCAAGGTAGAAGGTTCAACTCTCAACGCTTCTCTGAGGCGTGGCTGAAAGAATGCTGTGTGCAATGCATTGTGGGTGTAGCTCTCTGAAAGTGGCGGGAGAAATGTTGGAGAGAGTGAGAGAGACAGAGAGGGAGCAAAAGAGAGAGACTGAGAGGGAGAGTTAGTGAGAGAATCTAAAAGAGAGAGACTGAGAGGGAGAGCTAGTGAGAGAATCTAAAAGAGAGAGGCTGAGAGGGAGAGCTAGTGAGAGAATCCAAAAGAGAGACAGATATAAAGAGATAGCTAGGGAAATAGAGACATTGAAAGAGAGGAGGTGAGAAACCATCACAGAGAAGCCCATCCATTATCAAACATAAGGTCAATTTCCAGGCCCAGGGCTGTAGTACTGTAATTATGTTGTCCTACTCGTAGTTGCTGTCTGCCTATGGCCGTGGCACCGACCAGCCCAATCCTTATGGTAATCATGCTCTGCTCGGGCCGTCCAACCATCCATCAGACACAGACCCAGAGTAGTCTATTCAAGTTTGAACAGAAATTAAACTTGTGTTCATGCTTCCATGGAAGTGGTCCAGGAGAGTAGGGATGATTACTGAAATGGAAGTGGTCCAGCCAGTGTGTAGCATCAGAGTTGTAATTAAATAGGTAGAGGATATTACATGTAGGGTGTGTGTATATATATATCAGAATATATCCTACTATACTGAGACACTGATGGGCAGTTATGATGGGCAGTCAGTTGGGACAGAGGAAGCAGCCAATAGCATCACATACCTGCTGCTGAGCTTTAACCAAGGATAGTTTCAGGGGGTTCAGAGGTTGCTCATAAATAGATATACCCAGAGTTATGTATACCTGTCTCTACATATCAAAGTAAATGACTCAGATATGAAAAGTTGAGATATACAGAAAAGTATAGCAAATCCTGCAACTGCACATCAACCATGCTGTTGAGGCCATCTCTCAGCCAATCTCTCTCTCTCTCTCTCATCCCTGTAATACTCCCTCCTTTCTCTGGTGAAATGAGAAAGTGCTGTTACAGAGAGTGAGTCTTCCGATTCAGACAGGGTCGTGTGACTGAATACCATCACTGCATTATACAGTAAAGGCACTTTCAGCCAGCAACTATACTTCTTCTTCTTCTTCTGTTCCACCTCCAATGTCTTCTCTTTTATCACATATCCTCTTGCATAAGACCATTGCACTTAAATTACTGTTTGTTTGCAGTTGTTTATTTTTGGGGTTTCTGTTTTATCTTTTCATTTATTTTAATTTTTTATATTTTCTCTTTGGAGGTTTTTGATAAGGTTTTGTATGTTATTTGTTTGAATCCCGACGGATTTTCTCTATATACATATAATGCACTGTTCTTGTTTGCATTCCCTCTTAGAAAAGTATTCAAAAGTGTGAGATACCGTATGTGTGGTGGTGGTTGGTGGAGAATGGTACACACACATCCTGTTTGACTTTGAATACCCCTTCGACTGTCTCAACGGAGTGCATACTCAGGGATATGCACTACTGTACTTGCACACTCTGAAGTGTTCACTTGTTATTGTTCTTGTTTTAATTTCTGTGTGTCTTAGATTTATGGTGTTGTAAGTCTATAGTGTTTCTCTTTATTGTAATGTTTCACTTCCTGGAAAAAGACGTGTCGTTTTTGATCGTTTTCTGAGGAGGGTGGGAACATTTGTTCTTTCTGTGACTCCTGTACAGTATCTGTTTTCGTAAGCCAAGGTAATCTATTTCTCTTTTCTGTTCTTGCCTGTTCATAATGGTTCATAAGCAGTGTTAAAACACACAAAGAGGGAATGCTGTGTTTTCTTTCTCCAAACGTTGAGACGTCCTATAGGAACGATACGGCCCGCATGACCCCCACTTACTCTTCCACACAAAGTGCACTGCTGCATGGTACCTCCAATGATGGAGCTCAGTGGCACCCCCTGTGGTTACTCCACACCTTTACACCCTGTCTGTTCCTCCAGGACCCAGCACTACCTGTCAGGAAGACTCCTGTGCCAACATGGGCGTTTGTATTCAACAGTGGGAGAACTTCACCTGTGACTGCACCATGACATCGTACACAGGGACACAGTGCAACGACCGTGAGTAATGTTGAACTTTTACTCTACATATGAGAACAGACAGACACACTGATAAACACAGTACACATAGACTCACAGGCAGACACCCACCTTCAACTTTACCACGACCTGCTACACTGAGGGACGCAGTGCAACAACCGTCAGTACCAGGGTTCAAGGGTTTTCTGCATGATGCTGGTTGTTACCTTATTCTTACGCTGTATATTCTACTTTCTCTGTGAAAGCACCATTGAAAGGAATGGTGTGTGTGATATTCAAAATATGCTCTGAAGACCTTCAGTACAAAAGAGGTTGAATTGGTTTGAAATGGTTCTCAGTGTCGCACTTTCCTGTTGTTTGGTCACAGAGCTTTAGTATCTTGGTTTTATGAGTCATTGCGTGACTGATGTTATGTAAAACATCTGGTTCTGCCCAAGCAGCCATTTTCATAAACACCCCTAAAGAGGTTTCTCAGATGTGTGTGTGTGGCTCTTATCCCTGTGACGATGGGGACTCTCCTCTTCAGTTTGCGGTGGCAGGCGTGCACAGTGGTGTGCACAGTCTTTTGTTAGACAGTGTAATGTAAGGGCCGCTCTGCTCTGCTTTGCCCGGAGCACAACTAATGAGCTGAATCATGTTGAAGAGGAACAGTGATCACACTGACCTTTCATACCTACTAATGCTGCTGGTGGCTCCACTGCAGAGAACACTCTCTCATCCTCTACCTATCTCTCTTTCTTTCCCTCTCTGTCCCCCACTCTCTTTATGTCTTTACCTCTCTGCCTTTACCTTGCTCTCTCGTGCTTTTGCTATCTCTTTATCTCTTTATCTCTTTATCTCGATCTCTCTCTCTCTCTCTCCTCTCTCTCTCTCCTCTCTCTCTCTCTCTCTCCTCGCTCTCTCCTCTCGCTCTCTCATTCTCTCCCCTGTATTTCTTGTCCTGTCTTTGAAACAGTCGTGGTTTGAGGCGATGAGTGCTACTCTGACCCAGTGATTAGCCCATGGTCATGCCTCACCAGGCATTCTAGTGGTTTCATGTCTAACACTTCAACATCAAGGAGTCAAGGGCACGGTATCACCATATTTCCATGTTAAATAGTTCCCTATGCAGTGCACTACTTCTGGCTAAATCCCTCTGGCTTTTTCTTAGTGTAATTGTTATGTATTTTGCTTTAATTGGACCCGAGGTAGCATAGTTGTAGCCAGCTAAAAGTGATTCTAATACCAGTAAATAAAAGAACAACAACAACTTAATTGTTACTTGTTACCTATTAAAACAGGGGCCCTTTGGGTGCTGTTAAATGTAGTGTTTTAATGTCTCTGGCCAGGTACCAGATTAGTGTTCCATCTGTGTTTTTATAATTCATCCTTTTAGTTTCTCTTCTCTACTGTAGAGGTTCCGCTTCCCCCTGAGGTTTATAAACTGTTCATAGAGCCACCACTAGATGGCAGTAATGTGCCGAGCATCTCCGTACGCAGCCTACACCAGGCTGGCTAGCTGAGAGAAGAAATTAGACGCAAGCCCTGAGATGAAATCAGTTCCCCTGGCACTCTCCGCTAGAGAAAAAGACGAGAGACTAGAATGAGAGGGCAGATGGATGCGAGAAGAGCAGAAGAGGAGAGAGATAGAGAGAGAGAGATCTCTGATACCGTTTAATCTAGTGAGAGAGATTTGGGAGAGAAAGAGAAAGAGAGAAGAGAGGGGGGGGGAAGGGAGAGAGAAAAGAAAAGAAAAGAAGAGAGGGGAGAGGGGAGAGAGGAGAAGAGAGAGAAAAGAGAGGAGGGAGAGAAAGAGAGAGGGGAGATGAGAAAGAGGAAAAGGGAGGGGGGAATCCCTTTTCTACCCCCCCCCCCCCCTTTCTCCCGCTACCCTCTTCCCCCTTCCTCTCTGTGCTCCTGGGAAAGAAAAGGGGAAAAGGTTTGGGGGGGTGGGGTGATGAGGAAGTTTTGATTGAAAAAGCTTTCCCCAAACTAAAACAATCAAAAGTGATTTTTTCTTCAAAATAAAATTTGTTTTTTTTTGGGGATAGTGAAAAACTAAAAAAGGGGGGCCCTTTGGGGTTTTCCCATGGGTTTTTGCTGTGGGGCCCCTTGTGTGTGAGGCTTGTGGGTGTCAGGCCTTTAAATTTGGAGGAAAGCCTCACTTTTGAGTTTTGGTTTAATTGCACGTGAGAGTAGTGGAGAGTGGAGCTTATTTCTCTTTGGCTATGTTTGTTCATATCTGTGTCTGTGTCTGTCTCTGTCTGTATTGTTTTCTGTATGTCTTGTCTGTGGCTTTGTCTGATCATCTGTATGTCGCTTGTCTATATCTGTATGGTTCTGTCTGATCTGTTTTGTCTGTCTGTCTGTCTGTTTCTGTCTGTTATCTTTCCTGTCTATGTCTCTGTTTTGTCGTGTTTCTGTTTTCTGTCTTGTTCTCTTTTTTTTCTTTTTTCTGTCTGTGTCTGTGTCTATGTCTGTCTATGTCTATCTATCTTGGTCTCTGTCTGTGTGTGTTCTGTCTGTCTGGTTCTCTCTGTTCTCTGTCTGAGCGACGAATGAGCGAAGAGAGAGCGAGAGAGAGAGAGAGAGCGGAGAGAGAGAGAGCGAGAGAAAAGGAGAGCGAGGGAGAGGAGGGGAGCGAAGCTAGAGATAGGAGAGAGAGAGCGCGATCGAGAGTGAGGAGAGAGCGAGATGCATAGTGGAGGCGAGCGGTAGATATAATAGAGATCTGTAGCTCATCTCTCTCTCTTCTAGACCTCTATCTATCGGATCTCTCTCTCTCTCTCTCTCTCTCTCTCTCTCTCTCTCTCTCTCTCTCTCTCTCTCTCTCTCTCTCTCAAGGCTCTGGGGGGTGACATAGAGACCTGGCAAGCATGGTACTGTGGGTGACGGTGGCATCAAATACCACTCTTCTAACTCTCAAGTTATGCCAGGTTCTGAGTCACATAGAGGGCTGTTAGAAAAAAGTCATTATGAGCCAAAGTTAGTGTTGCCTTTGTTAATTTCATTTGAATGCAGCCAGTAGAGCAGTGTATACGTTCGTTTCTCTCTACTCTTGGTAAGCTTAAAGTGAAAATTCAGCCAGGCAGTAACCTGCATTTCTGCTGCGGTACGGTTGGTGGTTTGTCTTGTTTTACTGCAGACTCTAAGCCTTCACTGCAAATCCCTATATTGTATCCAACAGGGTACTGAAAGCAGCAGACAGGGAGGCATACAGGGAGGCAGGCAGGCAGACAGGCAGGCAGACAGGCAGGCAGACAGGCAGGCAGACAGGATGGCATACACAGGCAGATGGACAGGCAGGGAGGCAGACAGACAGGCAGACAGACAGGCAGACAGACAACGACTATCTGCACCTTCCATTTATCTACAGTTGACAGTTTGAGAACTGCACTCCTCACTCCTAAACTCAGAAACAAGACAAAGATAGACAGAGAAAGAACTTACAGCACTCTTGCACCATTTATGCATTTCTCAGCCCTGACTCATGTAAGGTTTTAGCTACAAGTACTGTTCTGCAGAGTATAGGGCTGCATTCCCGAGGGATATCCGCAGGACATGCGGGTCCCGACAGAGATCATTGCGGTGCAGTTGGCATTGGGAGTGGGCGGTCAGACAGACAATTTGGAATGAAAATATTTGGGCTTTCTGCTTTGTATGCGTTAGCCTACCTAAAAGCACATCGTCACGTTATTCACACACACTCAGAATTTGCTGTTTCAAGTTAAGTAGCCTACTTTTCCTCTCCTAGTTGGGCTTGCAAGATCAAGTGCGCCTAGTACCTATATGTGTGTCTCAATGAAATAGAGTAGGCTGCCTATGCATGGGCGGAGAATCACGTGGCAGTTATCTTTCCACGGAAATTCAATTCAAAATGATGAGATTTATAGTTTACCACAGTGTCTGTAAATAAATTGATTATTGATAATGGAAAGAAGTGGAGGGCGCTCAACCAACGTGAGTCGAGGTGCAATCAAAATATGATCAACATTGAAAAGGGGCAACACGTGCTTAGGTTACCATGCTGGGGGAGCATTGCACCATTTCATTTTCAATAAATATTGATTACCCATTTATTTGTTTCTGACTGCAAATCGTCCTCCTAAAAGGTAGTCTACAGGTCTATTCTATATACAAAACCTATGCAAGTGTCCGCTCTCATAATTCTTGCTGCTTCAAGTTCAGTAGCCAAACTTGTGAGATCAGGTGCGTGTGTGGTCTGAATTAGACTAAATAGAGTAGGCTATAGCCTATGCATAGGCGGAGAAGCACGGTACAGTTATCTTTCCAATGAAATGTACTTCCTAAATATGATTAGGCTATAGTTTACTACATTGCTTACGAATAAATATTGATCACCCATATTTGTCTCCATCTGAATAAATAGCTCAAGAGAAAGTGCAAGTCTCTCCAAATATGCTATTTTCAAACTATGTCTAGCCTATTGGCTGACAGTGGCGATTTTAGCATGTAAATCTTGGTGGGGCAAACTCCCCCAATTTTCTTTAGATGCATGCCAGCAAAGCCACTACATAACACAACACTAAACAGTACATTCATTGGACTATAACGGTGAGAAACGGTGCACACAAACTGTTAGGGCCTACATAAAGCTGTCCCAACAGCAGAGTCCCAACAGCAGTCCCAACACCTTACCACTGCTACACCTGGCTATCAGCAGAGCCTTGTCTGGCAGCGAACAACCTCATTTACTGCCTTTAAAAAAAACATAGCTGATATGGCTGACTTGCTTAAACAAATGTGGTTTCTACTGACAATTGAGATGTACAAACTATGGCATAAGGGGATGACGAGCGGATAAGAGGCAATCCGTAATTTCAATTAAAACATTAATGAGCGAGCTAGGAACGGACGTAGTCAATATAACTATTTGTTCAGCACTTTTGAAATGTACAGCGACAGAATTCAGAACATGGCTGATCTTACAGTGTTCTCCCTGTACACCAAGTCAGAACCGTAGGATAAATAAAAGGGGCATATAAGCAGACAATGAAAGCTCTTACAATATTCGATGATT